CCTACCTCTTGGCAAGCATACAATTTGTCAACGATATCAGGTATGTTTTGATATTGAGAAGTAGGGAGTTTGTTATTATACTCATTTTACTAATTAAATGTACATCTAATGTAAAATAAAATAAAACAAATGCAAGATAAATTTAGTTAGATGGTCTCTTTTTGCACTAAATGGCTTACAGAAAAGCATGCCTTGGTATACCAGGCATGTCACTAACTCGAAAGATTATGAGCCGCTTTCGTAGTTTGACAGCTTAGTGCCTAGGCACATCCTTTACAACACTAAGGCAAATAAGTAATATGCAAACATCATAATGCTTACCTCAACAGACTTCTGAACTAAAGCTTCTTTAATAGTGTTGATAACTAAGGGTAACAAATCATCCAATGATTTTCCACAGTACAAAATGCTCTGCTTTACAAGGTCAGGACTTCAGTGGAACATGAAGATAGAACATGAAGTACATGATCCAGGTAAGAACCAGAAATCTCCTTGGTAAGAAAATTTATGTCATGAATAACCTGCAAGCACAAGTGTGTTCATACGTATGCTGCTCAAAAGTCTGGATAAACAATAAATAAGTCTACATTATATATATTTATATTGTGCTTGATTTGGAGAATGAAAGCAAACTATCAACAATAAGGTCCATAGCAAATGGAACTTGGGGGACTGAAAAAGACAGATCTGAAGGAATTGCATAACAGCGTTACTTATTTTTCCATGATTTAATAATGAAGTTAAGGAATAGTTTTTGATGTTATGAGAACGTATATTTACCCGGTTTAATTTCTCTCTAGATCTTTCTATATTAGAAATAGATCATACCATTTGTGGCTCAAAACATTTACCATATATCCACTTATATGGTACTTCATCGTCCCATATAGATTCCTATATATCCACTTATATGGTACTTCATTGTCCTATATATACACAAATTATACGATAAGAGGTCAGAGATGAAGGGCTAAACTCATTTTACATTATAATGTAGGAAAGGATGCACTTTAGGTTTCATAACTTGTAATGGTTTCTTGCTTCAAATGTCACATACGGCACCAATGGACAAAAATGAAAGCAACTAGAATCAAAAGGCTAACAAGTACCCAACTCTCCTTTCAAACAAAATAAAATTTTTAACAGCTATAAATAAAAGTCTTATATCTCCACTAGAACATGAAAACACAATCTAATCTCCATCGAAGCATCCACACCCGACACAGATGAGCCAGAAATTGCACGACCCCAAATGCTGCTTAAGCAACAAGAGTGCTGGCAGTTGTAGATTCACTGTAAAACCAAGAAGTTGAAGCAACATTGCAACATAAAGCCTCTAGGGGATGCACAAAGAAAACAATTGAATCAAATGTAGGACAAATTAACATGTTCCATATGACCTAATGCTAAGGCTTTACTTATATTAACACGTGACAACGCATGAAATCATTAACTGAAAAGGAACTCATTCCGTGCAATCTAGGTTAAGAGATTCACATATCAATAGAATTATACTAGTGATAGCACTTAAGTTCAACCCTTGCAACATCATAACATACTGAATCACACATCCAAGCTAAAAATAACATGTATAAAGGAATAGAAGATACAATCCTAGTTTACCAAGTAGACATTAATAGGGAAAAAACTCAGATTGATCTAGAAAAGATTAATTAGACAATTAACAGTGAACAAAAAATGCACAATAGTTGAAGAAATCACTATATCGGACATTAATACACAGACTATTTCCAGACAGGAGGAAGCTTCTTTGTTTTCTTTTAGTATCGGGCGGACCTGTGAATCCTACTCTCAACAAGGATCAGCCTGAACTTGGAATCCTTGTCCTTCCTGTTTCTCTCCAGATGCTTGCGGATGGCAACGGCCTTCTTGATGAGGTGATACAAATCCTCAGGAATTTCAGGGGCAAGACCTATTAAAACAATAATTTAATAGCAACCCAATATTTCACTCATAGCACAGAAGAATATTTGGGTTAAACTTAACTACTGCATAAGTCCTTATACTGTAGACAGGAAAGCAAATTAAACCAAAAAATGGCTAATTGTGAAAAGAAGAAACACAAAATTTAAACTCTTTTTTAATAAAACAAAACAAGAACTTTCTAGTCTCTTTAAAGCAAACAAATCAGCATTCTTTAACATTCTCTTGCAATTCTAATTGGTTCAAAATGAAATGTATAATCATTCGAAACAAAAATATGAGTAAATCATAAGAACATAGAAAAGAAGAATATAATACCGTGGCCCTTAAGGATACGCAAGATCTTGCTTCCAGTAACGCTTTTAACATGAGCAATACCATGAGAATCACGAAGAATGACACCAAACTGAGATGGGGTCAAGCCTTTCTTTGCGAACTTGCAAATGTTTTCCTCAACCTGTGCACATTAACATTCAGTCATAACAGAAACAAAAAATTTAATGGCATTTCAATCAGCAAGGAATGTGAGGAAGGTTCAATTACTAACATCTTGAGAAGAGATCTTGAGCCAGCTTGGTGGGGTTCTCTTATAAGGCAGAGCTGAGGCAGAAATACCCTTACTGCAACATTGGGAAAAATGCTTACAATGTAAACAACTAAAATGTGTATATACACAGAGAGATAGAATAAAGGAGAAGGAGGAGAAATATACGACCCATGGCGGCGGCGGCGGCGGTGAGACTTGTCTTTTTTCCCCGCTACTGTTTGGTGTAAGGCAGTCGGCAACTAGGAGCAACCTGAGCTTCATTTTATTGGTTTTATATGTTCTGTGCTTATGGTTTTCATTTTACATGCAAACCTTAAGCTTTAACTATTGGGCTGAAGTTTGATAATAATTTAGGGCTTTATTACAAGATCCAACCTTTCATAGGCCCTGTATTCTACAACACGTCAACAATAAAGTCTTAATTAGGAATTATGAGTTAAGCAACTCGTGACCAGCTCAAACTTGATTCTGTAAAAATTTGGTAAAACCTTGAATTTTATTGACTCTACCAAACTTAAGTTCGACTCGTACCTTTAACAAACTGAGTCGATCAAAGTCCAACTCGACTCGATAAGTTCAAAAACATCTCGTTAATTTTATTTTTATAATATTTTACTAGTTATATCAAAATTTTATTTTATTAAAAAATTATTAATTTAATAATAGATGATAATTGATGAATCTATTAATTTTTTAATAAATAAAAAAATATTAACTTATTAACTAATAATTATTATTTTTACGACACCCAAAACTTAAATCTTAATTATTATTTTAATATATTTGTGGATTGTTATTTTAGAGTTTAAACTTTCAATTTGTTTCATACACTTTTTTGATAATTTTTTTTGTTAAATTTATCAATTTATTTTCATATTAAACACTATATAGTATTAGTAAATTTTACTTATGGTTAAAAAAATAAGATAAAAAATTTTGGTGAGCTTAACGAGCAACGAGATGAATAACGAGGCGATTAACAAACTTAACGAGCAATGGGTTTAATGAGCATGAATCGAGCAATAATTTTTTTAACGATCACGAATTAAACACTGTCCAATTCACTTGACAAACACATTGTCTTAACAATTTTGGTTCAAATTGATATCCAAACTTTACAAATCGACTTCTATCATCAAATTTTATATTTTTATTAGATTTGTTGATAACATGTATGAAAATATCAAATTTATATATCAAAAGTTCAAAACATGTGATAGAAGAATGAATTCAGATATCAATTTTGGATCATAGAAATATATAAAAATCATTTTTTATCTTAAAACTAAATTTAGTTATTAATTTGAAATAAAAATATTAATTTAAATTGATAAATATTCTTAAATTAAAGTGAATAATTTAAATGAAGTAAAGAGAGTTGAATCTAAGGTAAAACTTAAAATAGTTTTAGAATTAGTCCTTAGTTCGACCTATGAGTATTTAAAATTAATTTAATATTTCATTGGTTGAAATTATTTTTGTCCTATATAATTCATTTTTGTACGATTTGAATGAACTTTCCCCTTAGTTTAAACTTTCAATTTTGCCAACGGAGGATGGCATATGTACATCAAGCAACGTGGATAAGATAAATGATGCTTACTTGCAAAGTTTGTGGATTATAAATATTGCTCTATGATTTATATAGGCACAAAAATGTACCAAAAAAGAAGCAAATTAATTACCATAACCTTTAAAAATGTACCCAAAAAAAAGAGAAAATAATAACTTATTTACAATTGGGTAATTTGAAAAGGGTAGATTGAAATGTTCTAATTCTGGATAATGCTGATGAGTGATGAACTTGTTGACGAAAATACTGGGATTTTTCAACCTCGCATTTCGTCCACGTTCAGGCTCTCAGATCCACATTCACAACACAACAGCCAAAGTTATAAACATGAGAATAAAACAATGAATAAAAAGAAAATCAAATCAATCTTGATTCAATTTCAATTTTCAAGCAATAATAAGGTTTTTGAAGATGATCATACTTGTATCAGCGATGTTATTTGGCTATCTGAACGCATACAAGCAAGCCTTCTTTCTTCGAATGACTCTTCGATCCCTTCATGACCTCCTTTGATTGGCTTCGTATTTTGTGTTGTTGGAGCTTGCATCGTGTCTGTCTGCATCGAATGTGTTGCCTTTGGCATCCGATTCTCATCGTCAACCAAAGAAGTTGTTATTCTCAAGCGATGCAGGTTGTCAGGCAGATCATCGGTCGGGATCATTTTCTGTAAAGTTTTATGTGCACCGTTATCTTCTAGCTTGTTTGTCATATTGTTTTTTGGTGATGGATAGATGGGCGAGAATGGCTTACGAACCAGTGGCGACTCTACTTCATTAGCATGTACAGCATTTGACCAGTGCTTTCGAAAGGGAGTGTCGGTAGTGTCCATGCCTCTCCTAACTGCAACAATTAGTACAAATTTTGATTCTTGGTTACTGTATGAAGCAGTTGAGATTAGAACTGTTAATTTTGGATATGATACAATTACATAATTATAAAATACAGTACAAATATACAAACATATCAATATATATATATATATATAACACAAAATATTATTGTGATAAACTTTTTACAACAATATGTAACCTTACAAAGCAGTTATAGAGTTAAACCGAGAAATGAATCTATAATTCGGTTTTGGGTTGATAAAATTGTTCTGGTGTCAGGGAAAGCTAAGATTGTGGCTAATCTTAAACACGGATACAACATGAATACACGGATTGACAAGTCTAATTAAGATATTCTTGATTGTAACAAGCATGGACGGAGAACTTACAAGCTGGGGAAGCTGGAATAGCATCCTCCCGCCTATGATTTAAATGGTCATTTTGAAATGGAAGGTCGGTTTTCTTAGTAGAATGTATTTGGGGAGTCCTTGGGGTATGAACTGAATCGGGTCTAACCATTGATCCTCCCGAGGTGGTTCTTCTAATGCTAGACTGCTTGGAATACTTTTTTGCAGTCTGCTGCTTTGGTGGGCATACTTTTGAACCGTACAGTACCTCTTGCTCCGCTATTATCTGCTCTTGAAGTTTCTTCTGGTCCTGAACAGAAACAATTGCCCCATAATGGCATATATCCTAGTTTCATACATTGGTGAAACAATATTAACATATGCTCTGTGATTGGGAAATGAGTTTGGTTGTCTAACCCGTAACCTGCGCCTTTGTTGTTCTTTTTCCTCTCGTAAAGCAGCGTAATCTTCGAGCATAGAAAGAAGAGGAATCTAGATAATATAGAATGGGGTCGTGTTAATAATTTGTGTCATATAGGTTTTGATGTAGTGTTCGTCTATTATTGCTAGGGGTACAGATAGATACCAAAATTGTAAGCAAATACGGAACAATATTCAAGGGGGTAAGTTATTAGAGCACGCACACCATCATACAAAAATTCAGTCTCTCTCCCCTCTTCCCAAGCCACGGTCTTTGAAATCAATGCCTCGGTCATTCCTGAAAAGATTGGCATAAAACAGTTTCAGCATCGTGTTAACTAATTCTACTAAAGATGGGTAGGAAATAGGAACTTATTGGTAGAAATCTCAAATTTTGGGATGCATGATGTGAAATGGTAACGAGAAAACCAAGTTTGGTTCTGTGACTTCAACATTTCTCAACCTAAGTTTATCTTGGAATGCCATATACCTGGAAGTTTATTAACCAAGGCACGAGCTTTCTCAGCACGCTTGAGTGCAAGATGAGTTCCTTTTCCCAGATTGTATCGATTTTCATCCTGTCAAATAACATATAATGAAGCAATGTTACCATCCTATGACATAAAAAGAAAAAAAGAAAAAAAGACACTCCAAAGAGATGACAGAAACGCTCACCCTGTTATATTCCTCAAGCCAACACTCCTCATCACATGCCGCCAACCATTTCTCGATCTTTTCAAGTATTTCTTTTCTGCTAAAAGCTTCCTCTTTAACCTTTGCAATATGAAGTTCAATTTGTTCTAGGATGGTATCATCATCAACAACTCCTGAATATATAATGTAAGAATGACACGAGGAAAAGGGGTGTGGAGAATTATGATATAACAAATGATCTGATGAAAATGAGATATGATTAGCATGTACCAGACTCAATAGCTTCAATGACATCTTCTAATCCAGTGTCTGGAACCAGGTGCGTCTTCCTACAGATCTTCCTTAGCTCCGATCGCTTCTTGAGGACAAGCTCCTTCATTTTTCTCGACTTTAACTCTTCCAACCGAGAAACTTCTGCCTCAATCTGCATAGTATAGCATATTTATTTCTCTGTTAATCAGCAGTAAAGCACTTACTACTACTTTTGAAATTTATAGACCAAGAGAAGATCAGCTAAACTCCCCCCTTTAAAAATGTATGACCTACATAGTTGATAAAATCCTCAGAGAGACTGTTGGGTTCAGTAATTTCATCCTCTGAAGCAGCTATATTACATGTAACATCCTGAAATTTCTGTTGTTCTTCAATCGGTGTATCCATCAGATTCCACAACTCCAACATGGTAGTTGCAAGATCTTGTAGCTGTAAAGGATCAAAGAACACCATTCCAATCAGATATATAGAAGAGGCCCAGGATTATGTAGTATGCAAAATATTAAAAGTTCATTTTTTACCCTGTCCATCCTCTGTATCTTAACTTCCCGCAACTTATTTATTGTTGCACTTAACTGCTTAATTGTGTTATTGCTAATACTCCTCGATTTTTCAGAGTCACCTAAACTAGCATGGACCTCAGCAACTGTCAGCTTGAAATCCATACCCATCACTGAGCAAAGTGAGTTCAACATGTTTAGGTGGTCCTGAACCTGCTGCAGACGATTACTCTGCACAAGGGAGACGAGCAAGAGGAAGATAAGCAAGAGTTTTCATTAGGTGGAAACAACAAAGAATTGAAAAATAGTAAGAAAATTGACCTTCTCTTTCTGAAGTTCATGAAGCTCTCTGTGCAATTCTTCAAGCTTCATCAAGGACAAGTCAGTTTCATCTATAAGTGTTTCCGAGGAAACTGATTCTGTGGATTTACTTATCTCATTTCTGATAATTTGTATTTGATCCAGGACGTTTATGAAATGACTTATTCTTTCTCTCTTCCTTTTCTTCATCTCCTCCACCTGCGGAAGAATTTTCCCGAGCTCTTCCTTCAAGCTTCCAACTTTTACATCTGACTGAAAAGTTTGGACCGTAACATAAGTAAATAGTTCAATCTAACCCGAATCTTTTCAACCAAAATAATGAATTCCTGACCTGCCAAATATGCACTGGCCTCTCCCCCATTGCTGCACAGATAGCAGCAAGTTCGGCTTCATAATCAGCAATTGTCTTTTTTATATGAGCTTTGGATAGATTTGCCTGATCTACCTTCCTTCTGTATATTTCCATGCACTCTCGTTCAAGCTCAAGCAGCATTTCATCTCTGTCAACATCTGTCTCCCCGATTTCATCCCAGATGATCTAATGTTTATTTTAAGGAACCATGAGATTGTAAATATTATATTAGTGTTCGAATTTTTAGAATAGAAATAGGGAAGAGGCATATTTGAACTGGGAATTATCTTGCCAAGAAGAACAGAAATAAAAGAATTATGGTATGGTATATTTTGTGTGTAATGCTCCACAATACCTGAAGTTCGTCTAGAAGGGTTCTACAGGTTGTTTCCAAATGAACAAGTGGAACAGTTCGCGGAGTAGACATATGAATAATTCCTGAAGAAATCAATGTCTTCATATAAAAAAATCATCCCAAATTATACACCGTAAAGCAACCTAAGAGAATAAAAAAGCAAAACTGAAATTTCAAATGGTATAAAATGTGTAAAACGTGACCTTTCAGATAAATTTTAGCAGGAACAATGAAACTGCAAAAACAAAAAGCTGCAACCACCAAGTATATAAGCAGAAGCTTTAAGCTTGCATTGGGACATGAAAATGGCTAATCATTTTCTCTCAACTCTAAATTCACAACATGAAGTAATTTTGTTCTGGACTATAATAACTTGAAACATTGAAATTAAACAACCTGCACCATCAGCATCCAGTTCGATATAATAGTGATTGTTCTAAGAGATCAAAATCTTTTGTTTTTACTATTTGTAACAAATATACAAGATTCTGAAAGTCCATAGTGTTTCTAACTTAAATATAAAATGAAATTTAAAATAAGAATTGTTCACAAATAATATCTTCGGATGAAAATGCCAAGGAAAAGGGGGGGGGGGGGATGACATTTGATCCATTACCATTAGATAGCCTTAATTACATCCATCAGGTAACCCATTTCCATCAACCTCTTACTATAAAAATCAATTGCAGTACATGAGTTAATTCTAATATTTTGAAGTCATTAATCACCAAAAATTATTCAAGAATAACATTAACATTACAATAACAAAAGTCACTAGAACTATCCTCCATTTACACACCAAAAAAAAAAGTCAAACCGGAGATTTAAACATTAAGTACTCCTCTTGTTTATTTCTTTTTTTGCTTCTGTTTTACTACATTTGTGGTTCTGCCAATATGGCAAGAAATCAATTCCAAGCTCCGAAGCTTTAACGACCTTGTTCACCTCTCTATAACGCACACTAAATCACGATTTCATCTGTAAAAACTTAAGCTATTGATCACCCATTAATTTACATTATAACAAAAAATTACAAGAAATCTCCAATTTTCTCGAAAATTGATGAACGGGAGATATAAGCTATAAGTTCTCTCGTCTTGTTTGTTTATCTCTACGTTTTCTCGTCAGCCACACATGATAAGAAATTGAGGGGGGATGTGTTATTGTGCAGAGTTGAAGACAAACCTGAGCAGATTGCGATTGAGATGAACAATATGCCCTCTCAGAAGATTTGTGTTTTCTTTTTTCATAGAAAAGAATGGAAAATTGAGTTTGAAAAATAAAATGAAAGGCTTACCCAAAAAACCGCGAGAATTGAGGCTTGAGTTTCCTTTCAATTTGCAACAAAAAGGTTGACGGAAAACAGAAAATGAGTGCGTAGGCGTTTGTGGAATGAGTGTTTTTTTTTTTTTTTGACATAATCTCACATTGGTTGAGTAGGGAGTGAAAATTATTTTGTCGAATCTCGATAAATTTTAGTGTTTTTTATGTCTATTTAATATTTATTATCGGGTATAATTATTGTTAATTATTGTTTTATTAAAATTAATTGTCTTGGTAGTTATGTCTAAGGAGAGTGGGTTTTAAGAGGGACTATTGTGATCCCTCCACTATTTCCTGAGAATCTATCTTAGGGTGATTTTTAGTACAATCATTTTTAGTACAATCGTTTTCACACTAGTCACCTAGATAATAGTTTTCAAGGTGAATTTGTTATTATTGGTGGAAATTAACCCGAATTCTACAACAATTGGTATAAGAGCTCTTGGTTTATTTTAGTATGCTCTGTGGTTGCGGCTTAGGCTGATCTTCCACATCAGAAAAAATTTCTTTGGGATAATTGACATTCCGCATTGACAGCTATTAAATAGAGTTTGTAGCAGAAATAACAGACGACACAAAAACATCCGCAAGAAATGTTGTGACAAATGTTAAATTTGCAGAGGAGATTTTTTATGGCACCGATCATTTCGGCATGTGACCAAGTGAGGTTCTAGATGCCCTATTTCAGCAGGGTCTAGACATTGCTATTGAATGAGAGAAACCAGATGATGTTGAGGAGAAAGAATGGAAGAGGATCAATAGATTGACATGTGGTGCTATTCGATCGTATCTTTCTAGAGAGCAGAAGTATGCATTTTCTAAGAAAACTTCTGCAAGTAAATTGTGGAAGGCACTAGAGGAGAAATTTTTTAAGAAAAGCGGTCAGAACAAGCTCTATATGAAAAAGAGATTGTTTCGCTTCAACTATGTACCAGGTACCACTATGAATGATCACATTACTAGCTTTAATCAGCTGGTGACTGATCTAATGAATATGGACGTGACTTTTGAAGACCAAAATCTGGCTCTGATGTTGATGGGATCACTTCTTGATGAGTTTGAGTATCTTGAAACTACTCTACTTCATGGGAAGGTTGATGTGTCTCTCAAAAAAGTAACTGCTGCCTTGTATAATTATGAATTGAGAAAGAAATACAAACAAGAAAACACAAGTGTCGAAGTAGAAGCTCTTGTTGTTAGAGGTCGTTCGAAGAGTCAGAATAAAGGAAGGATATTGAGATCGAAGTCAAAGTCCAGATTGAGCAAAGATGGATGTGTCTTTTGTCGAGAAAAAGGGCACTGGAAGAAAGAATGTCCCAGGCTAAAGAATAAAGGCAAACCTGAAAGGGGAAAGGCTGTCTCAGAATCAAATATGGTCGAGTATGATGATGTAGATTCAGATTTCGCATTCGCTGCTACGCCATCAACCAGCTGTTCCAGTTCATGGCTGTTAGATTCAGCTTGTAGCCACCATATGACCCCCAATAGAGAATGATTCTTTGATTTTAAAGAACTAAAAGGTGGAATTATCTACACAGCAAATAATTCCCCTCTTGACACACTTGGGATTGGTTCAATTCTCTTGAGGAATCAGGATGGATCAATCAGAACCTTAACAGGTGTCCATTATGTACCAGATTTAATGAGAAATCTTATCTCTGTGGGAACCTTAGAGTCAAAAGGTTTAGAAGTTAGGGCAAAATATGGGATTATGAGGATTATCTCTGGTGCACTGGTGATAATGAAGGGAATCCGGAAAAGAATCAATGTGTATTACTTTCTGGGTAGTACAATTGTTGGGACAACAGCAGTGGCAACTTCTACTGATGAATAGGAGTCAGAAGCAACCAGGTTATGACATATGCACTTGGGGCATGTTGGTGAAAAATCCTTTAAATTGTTGATAGATCAAGGATTATTGAAGGGTACTCGGGCTTGCAAATTAGCTTTTTGTAAGCATTGCATCAAAGGGAAGAAGATGAGGGTGAAATTTGGAATAACAATCCATGATACTAAAGGTATTTTGGATTATGTTCATTCAGATGTATGGGGGCCTTCCAAGACAACTTCATTGGGAGGAACACACTATTATGTCACCTTTGTTGATGATTTTTCCCGGAGAGTTTGGGTGTATACAATGAAGACAAAGGATGAGGTGCTAGGATTTTTCCTTAAATGGAAAAAGATGGTGGAGACTCAAACAAGAAGAAAAATCAAACGTCTCCGTATAGACAATGGTGGAGAGTACAAAAATGATCCATTTCTGAAAGTCTGTGAAGAAGAATGTATTGTCAGGCATTTCACTATCAGATCTACACCACAACAGAATGGGGTGGCAGAGCGTATGAACCGGACATTAGTGGAGAAGGTTCAGTGTATGTTGTCTAATGCTGGGTTAGGCAAAGAATTTTGGGCTGAGACTTTGGTATATGATTATCACCTTGTCAACCGCTTACCATCGACTGCTATTGGTGGTAAAACACCATTAGAGAAATGGTTTGGAGAACATGCTACATATTATGATTCCTTACATGTGTTTGGTTCCACTGCATACTATCATGTTAAGGAGTCAAAGCTGGATCTAAGAGCAAAGAAGGCGATCTTTATGGGGATCACCTCTGGTGTGAAAGGCTATTGTCTTTGGTATCCATAAACAAAGAAAATAATCTTCAGTAGGGATGTTACCTTTGATGAATCTACCATGTTGAGAAATGTGACTTCAGAAAAATTGGAGCAGACAGATGGAACTCCCAAACAAGTGGAGTTTGAAGGAAGCAGAATTGTCCCAGCTAGTAAAGAAACTGATGTTTACTCTCCTATGGTAGAAGAAGAGTCAGATGAAGAAGAGGTTCAGACCCAAGAACCTCCACAGCAACATGAATCAATTGCACTCAGAAAGGGAAAAAGGATCATTAGACAACCTGCTCGTTATGCTGATATGGTCTCTTTTGCATCACCAATTGCAATTGATGACGTTCCTGCCACTTTTAATGAAGCAGTCCAAAGTTCAGAACATAAAAAGTGGAGGATCGCCATGAATGAAGAAATGCAATCCCTTCAAAAGAATCAAACGTGGAAACTAGCTAGTCTTCCGAATGGAAAGAAGACAATTGGGTGCAAGTGGGTATATGCAAAGAAAGATGGATTTCCTGACAAGAATAACATCCGCTACAAATCAAGATTGGTGGCTAAAGGCTACGTTCAAACGAAGGGAGTTGATTATAATGAAGTATTTTCTCCAGTTGTAAAATATTCCTCCATCAGAATTTTGTTGGCTTTGGTAGCGCAGTTGGATTTGGAACTAGTTCAGATGGATGTAAAAACTGCATTTTTACATGGAGACTTGGATAAGGAAATCTACATGACTCAGCCAGATGGATTCAAAGTTGCTGAAAAATAAAAGATGGTGTGCAAATTACAAAAATCGTTGTACGGTTTGAAGCAATCTCCAAGGCAGTGGTACAAGCGATTTGACAAGTTTATGATAGGGCAGAAGTACACAAGAAGCAAATATGATCATTGTGTGTATTTACGCAAGTTACAAGACGGATCCTATATATATCTTCTTCTTTATGTTGATGATATGCTGATAGCTTCTAGGAGTCAGACAGAAATTGTGAAACTAAAGACTCAATTGAACAGGGAGTTTGAGATGAAGGATCTTGGTGAAGCGAAGAAAATTCTAGGCATGCAGATATCAAGGGATAAGAAATTGGGGAGACTTTGTTTGTCTCAGAAAGAATATCTAAGGAATGTACTAAAACGTTTT